AACGTGATCCACCCGCCTCGGCCTCCCAAAGCGCTGGAATTACAGGTGTGAGCCACCCCGAGCGTTGGGATCACAGGTGTGAGCCGCCGTGCCCGGCCTGTAGTGGGAGTTTTTCTAGTGTGTAATGAACTGTTTGGAACCTTGTAATGTTAGTAGTTCTTTTGTAAATAGGTGAAATACCTTTTTTTTTTTTTTTTTTTTTGAGCCGGAGTCTCACTCTGTTGCCCTGGCTAGAGTGCAGTGGCCCGGTATCAGTTCACTGCAAGCTCCACCTCCCGGGTTCACACCATTCTTCTGCCTCAGTCTCCTGAATAGCTGGGACTGCAGGCGCCTGCCATGATGCCCGGCTAATTTTTTGCATTTTTAGTAGAGACGGGATTTCACTGTGTTAGCCAGGATGGTCTTGATCTCCTGACCTCAAGATCTGCCCGCCTTGGCCTCCCAAAGTGCTGGGAAATATCATATTTACATGAAAATGAATGTTCCTGGTGATAAACATCATTCTTGGGCTAGATAGTAAAATCCACCAATAACTATAGTAAAAAGAAAGAATAAAGTTTAGAATGAACTGAGAGTAGTGTGTTCCAGCAGAAGATAAACATTAGGAAAAATGCATGCATAAGTGATCTTGTTATATTTTTAAATAAGCATGTCCTTGATGAGACCCTTAATAGAGTTTTGAACATCCCTGTTGAGAGAGTGGAGAGAGGAAGTCTTTTGTGTAGGCGTTCAGGATCCCTGAGCTCCTCGTAGACAGAGCTACTCTCCCATTTGCCTTCACCTTACCTCACCTGGCTAGTTGTTACTGCTTGTTAGCACTGGGGACTGGGCATGGCTGTATTGACAGCCTGTAATTTAGTTGGTCTGTATAATTTGATTTTTAGCTTGTAGGTGAGTTTTAGCTTGTGAACCTTTCGAGGGTTGGGAGATTTCCACATATGACTCTCTTGTAGAGTCACATATGGAAACAGAAAAGAACGAAGAAATTTTGTACTTAGTTTTTAGTTCATTACTCTTAATTATCAGTCTTTTTCAAGTTGTTGTGCTTTTTCTTCAAGAACAATCTTGTTCAGACCCTAAACCTAAAACTCATGGGGGACAAAAAAAAGCGTGGCTTCTAAAATTGAAGGTGGGTTTGGAGAGTGGAACCTTGCCTGCTTGCTGTTTTTACCCCCAACTCTCTTCTTCTCCCCGCCACATCCACCTTATATCCAGTCATGGCCCCATAAAGATTCTGCAGTCAAACTTTCTGATTTTATAGGTGAAGAAATGTTAGGCTCAGTGCTGTTGGACTCACTCCAAATCACACTGTTAGGCAGTCGTGGAACTGGGATTTGAGCCCATCTTTTATCACCAAATCTACTAGTCTGCTGTTATCGTTATGTTGTAGACCATGGATAACTAACTAAAAATAACTATGTTCGCTGTGTTACGGTTTTCAAAGGGTTTCCACATATGTAGTCTCATTCGATTTTCACTCTGTGGACTGGCAGAGTAGATTAGTGTAACAGTAGTTCATGTTTATTGAAGGCATACCCTAAATGTTAAGGATAAGAGTACTTTTGCATTCATGTATTCACCCTTGATCTGTTTTTTAAACTAATTTTTTGAAAGACAGTAATTGGCTGCCCTGTTAATGTGACTGGATAAGGAGAGATTGGCAGGTTATTTTAGGTTGTGAATCACAGTTTCAGAAACCGTTATCACGTTCCTCAAGGTCATCAAGTTCTGTGGAATTAAATTGGGAGCCTGGTCTGCAAGAGTGCCTCTGAAAACTGGAAGGCAATTTTTGTTTACAAGTCTAGCTTGGTAATTGGATGGTTTGTCAATGCAGCACAGTCACTTCTCAGTGAGTACCTTTAGTCAAGAGGACACGTTGTAATTCAGGAGGTTGCTTGGAACAGGAAAAAAACTGAGGGAGTGTGTTATTTCTGAAGGATATTTCTGTCAAGTAGTGGTATCCTGATCAAATGCCCTCCTCCGTTCTAGGGAATGGAGCAAAATTTAAACGGAGTTTACAGAAGCAAATCATTCATCTAGAGTGGAGAACTTTTCCCTGGATGTGAGTACAGAGGCATTGGTGGAGTCTCTTTTTCGAAGATCCCTGCTGAGTAGCAGAAACAGCCGCCGTGCCGGCTAATTTTTTTTTTTTTTTTGAAATGGAGTTTCGCTCTTGTTGCCCAGCCTGGAGTCCAATGGTGCAATCTCAGCTCACCGCAACCTCCGCCTCCCGGGTTCAAGCGATTCTCCTGCCTCAGCCTCCCGAGTAGCTGGGATTACAGGCACGCACCACCATGCCCGGCTAATTTTTTATTTTTAGTAGAGACAGGGTTTCTCCATGTTGATCAGGCTGGTCTTGAACTCCCCACCTCAGGTGATCTACCCACCTCAGCCTGCCAAAGTGCTGGGATTACAAGCGTGAGCCACTGCACTCAGCAATCTTGTATTTTTAATAGAGACAGGGTTTCACCATGTTGGCCAGACTGTACCTCAGGTGATCCACCCACCTTGGCCTCCCAAAGTGCTGGGATTACAGGTGTGAGCCACCGCGCCCGGCCCACGATCACCTTAATCTCTTTTCAGAGATTGAAATAATGTAAGGCAGAATACAGTTTCTGCAAAGTTTGGTCTGTCTGCTTCCAATTTCTTGTTGCTCGTGGGGTTCTAATACCAATTGTGGGAATCTGTATCCTTGGAAGACCCTTGGACTCCACTTTTTCTCTCTCAGCACTGTTTGTCAGAAACTTTGCCCAGTCTCTCAGCCACTCTTCTGGGATTGCCAAATATTCTCAGAGGGAAAAATAATCCGGTTTGGGGAAGAGAGGTGAGGTGGCAGATCTCTGAAGATTTTTGTCCTCTTTGGAATGTTGGCTAGTAGTTTTTGACTATTTGATTTCTGGATCAATAGGAGTTTGTTGTTCATGAGTCAAGTTATTGGAAACGACGAAACTAAAATGTTCAGTCCTTCGTTCTTTCCTTTTCCTTTTAAAGTTTTAAACGTTTGTCTGGAGTGGTTTTGTTACTTTGGAGTTGGGGGAAAGAACCCTTAATACCTGTTTTATTTTTTGTTGTTGCTGTTGTTTTTGTTTTTGTATTACAACTGTGCTTCATGCTTCTACCCTCATTAAACCATCATTAAGGATTTTATTGGCCTTGTGCAGTAGGTATACAACAGACGTTAAACACTGGAGCTCTTAAATGATTGGGCCACATGTATGAAATACACTTTACTCCTTTATTTACCTTTGTTTAACAGTTTAATAGCTGCCTTTAATTATCGGGGTATGTGTTTTTAGTGTATAATGGCCAGAACTCCAAACTCTTTACTTGTTCCAGCAGGTGTATGGATTCAGTTTACATGTAGTCCAGAGCTGGGTGTTAATGTGTCTCCTAGATTTCCTTCAAGGGCTGAAGTCTGTTGGGACTGGACAAAGTGAGCCCCTTGAAAACAGAAGAAATATTTAACAGAGTATGTGGCACTTCTGGGACTGGATAATGAGCACATTGGGTATTCATGCTCCTCCTACCTTGGGACTTAAAATCTCTCCTCAGGGTTAATCAGTTTACCACCTTTTCTCAGAGCACCTTGCACATGCCCCTAAAACTTTTGTATTATCTTGTCTCTGTTGGGACTTAACCTTTTGACAACATTTCTGCATGTCTTTTAGGTATCTTTTAAGGGTGACAGTAAAAATTCAAATTGTTATAAATGTCAACACAGAAAAACTAAATCCTGCAGTATACTAAGAATAAAAATATTTAAGAAAATATCTGCTGGCTACGCACGGTGGCTCACGCCTGTAATCCCAGCACTTTGGGAGGCAGAGGCGGGCAGATCACTTGAGGTCAGGAGTTCAACATGGTGAAACCCCATCTCTACTAAAAATACAAAAATTAGCTGGGTGTGGTGACAGGCGCCTGTAATCCCAACTCTTGGGAGTCTGAGGCAGGAGAATCACTTGAACCCGGGAGACGGAAGTGGTTGTGAGCCGAGATGGTGCCACTGCACTTCAGCCTGGGTGACAGAGCGAGACTTTGTCTCTAAAGAAAGAAAAAAAATACCCGCTAATGTGTGTGGGGTAAAGTGTCATGGTTTAAAGTGTTAGGTAAAAAATTCTCATAGATCATGTCAGAGCTGATTTGATGTGCATAATATATAAGACTTCATATGGTAACCATTTGATATACATGTATATAGTTACTAGAAGAAAATTATCTAAATAGAAGTTATATTAATTTTGTTAAGGATAAATGTAGTCATATCCCAAAATGTAGTCATTTGTGTTAGAAGGTTTTGACTTTACAAGGGGTTTCTTTTAGCCTCTTTTTATGAGTTATATTTTATATTTTGCTAGCCACTAAGCCAGCTGCCACTTAATGTGAACCATCATTTGGGCATCCTGGTGGTAGTATAGTTATTTAAGTAAGTATTGCCTTAAGGAGAATGACAGATTTACTGTTATAGTTTATTATCAATGGTAATTTTTTCTGCATCATTTTTAATTGACTTCTTCTAGGGCTTTGGCAGAATATGTGAATCACACTATGACTGAACTCTTAAGTGTCCAGTATGTAAAGCAAAGACAGAGTTTAAGAGCCGTGCTATGGGACAACTCATGAAGGGAAATATTTTGTTAGATTATCTTATAATGGTAACAAATAAAGTAAGCATGGCCATGTTCGTTGGATTTGGTGATGTTTTATGTAAGTGAGTGTTAGGATTGGTGCTCAGGAATACATAAAGATATTTTTCTATTGAATTTTAAATTTAACAGTTACAGTTTAAACATATCTGTAGGAGGGTGTTTTATAGACAAATTTCACTTGTAAAGCTGGAGAATGGAGAACTTCAGAAAAAGTTTACTTAGTATTCTTGACTTTCATCAGTTGGACATTTGAATTTATTTTAATTTATTTTCTTGATATTGAAATAAAATGTCAATTAGGAATACATTATGTTATAAAACTGACGTATTTTTTTTCCTCCCCAATACAGAAGCTCCACCATGAGGCGAGGTGGATGGAGGAAGCGAGCTGAAAATGATGGCTGGGAAAAATGGGTGTGTTTTAAAAGAGTAAAAATAATTATATGGAACTGTCTAGATATTTTTCATTCTTCTTTTAGTTTGTAATGTGGTTTAACTTGTTTACTAAATTGTAAATTACTTTAGACACCAAATCCTTGAGTTTTCATAATGTATTGAAAGCCTTATGATGTTTATAAACTTTATCCCCTAAGCTTTACTCTCAGGAATTTTACCCTGAGGAAATAAATACGCCTAGTGCACAATAATTTACTGTATGATGATTTTATTGCAGTATTGCTAATAATACTGAAAAACAGGAAAACACATAAATGTCCAATAATAGGGGATTGGTCAAATAAGTTATCTGTGTATAGTAGAGCACTGTACAGTCATTATTCAGCTTTATATATCTTAACCTGGAAAGATAACCTTGACTAAAACAGTGTGTTACAAAGAAATATTTTGCATGATTATATTTTTGTAAAACCTCTATGCTCTGAGATATAGAAATAAACTTTGAAAACAGCACTTCAACGTTTTAATGAATAGGATTATACCAGTTTTAATTTTCTTCCCTATATTTCCTGTATTTTCTGAAAAGAGACTTCATAGTGAGCATGTAATATTTTAATAATCAGCAAAAATTATGCAGTCATTTCCATTTTGGGAAAAAAACCATGTACTTCTAGCCACCTACAGCTTTAATTTAAAGACCTAATAATTGAAATCAAGCTTAATTATATCAAAGTTCAGGAAAAGTATAGTTGAATCCCTAGATCTGTCAAGATGTTTAGCAAAAAAAGTTATTTTTTAATATTTATTGTGAGGTGGATGTTATCTAATGAAAGTTAATATTACTGTCAAATAGATTGATTAGATCCAGAATTTACCCACTGGAACATTCATTGCATTCTTATCCATGTGTAGGGAGGACTACACTGGTTTATCCAGTTGCCTCATTTTTACCTGAAATTATTCATTTTAAGCTCTCTGTATATGGGAGATAGTGGAAGCCAGTCTAAAATATGCTCTGAGGCTGGGCGCGGTGGCTGGCACGTGTAATCCCAGCACTTTGGGAGGCTGAGGTGGGTGGATCACCTAAGGTCAGGAGTTGGAAACCATCCTGGCCAAGATAGTGAAACCCCGTCTCTATTAAAAATACAAAAATTAGCTGGGCATGGTGGTGGGCGCCTATAATCCCAGCTACTTGGGAAGCTGAGGCAGGAGAATCACTTGAACCTGGGAGGCAGAGTTTGCAATGAGCTGAGATTGCACCACGGCACTCCAACCTGGGCGACAACAGCAAGACTCTGTCTCAAAAAAATAAAATGAAGTATGCTCTGAGACCACTTGTCAAATTTGTAATTGGTATAAACTTTGGTGTAACTTGCTCAATTATGTACATAAGAACAATATGTTGTGATATTATTATTATTACTATTTTTTGAGATGCAGTTTTGCTCTTGTTGCCCAAGCTGGAGTGCGATAGCGCAATCTCAGCTTGTTTGCAACCTCTACCTTCTGGGTTTAAGTGATTCTCCTGCCTCAGCCTCCTGAGTAGCTGGGATTACAGGCGTGCGCCACCACGCCCGGCTAATTTTGTATTTTTAGTAGAGACGGGGTTTCATCATGTTGATCAGGCTGATCTCAAACTCCCGACCTCAGGTGATCTGCCCTCCTCGGCCTCCCAAAGTGCTGGGATCACAGGCGTGAGCCACTGTGCCCAGTCGGTATTATTATTATTATTGACCTAGCTTTTTTTAAAAGTAACTTTTGTAATCATAAGAATGTAATAAAGTTAAAATGAGTTGATAGAGGGAAAATTCTTCTTTGACCTACGTGTTTGTTTGTTTGTTTGTTTATTATTTTTTGAGATGGAGTCTTGCTCTGTCACCCAGGCTGGAGTGCAGTGGCGCCATCTCGGCTCACTGCCACCTCCACCTCCTGGGTTCAGGCAATTCTCCTGCCTCAGCCTCCTGAGTAGCTGGGATTACAGGCGCTGGGCACCGCACCTGGCTGATTTTTGTATTTTTAGTAGAGACAGGGTTTCACCATGTTGGCCAAGCTGGTCTCAAACTCTTGACCTCAGGTGATCCGCGCGCCTCGGCCTCCCAAAGTGCTGGGATTACAGGTGTGAGCCCCTGCACCTGGCCCAGCCTTCCTGTTTTACGTATCGCCTTGCCTGTGGTTTACGCTTATGAGGTCGTCATTGTGTTCTGATCACTAGCATAGAATAAGGTCCATTTATTTAGTTTTTAACGTATAATTTTTATTTTTTTCAAAAAAGGGGGGAGAAAATGTAACCTTTGTGATTGGTTTATCTTTTCTTTAATTCTAGGGTGGGTATATGGCTGCCAAGGTCCAGAAACTGGAGGAACAGTTTCGATCAGATGCTGCTCTGCAGAAGGATGGGACTTCATCTACAATTTTTAGTGGAGTTGCTATCTATGTTAATGGATACACAGGTTGAGTACTTTTTACTTAACCCTATTTTGGCATGTATTTTTATTAGGATTGAGAATGATTTGTTTTAAAATTCTATTTTTACTCTTTTATTATAAATAAATGATTGTAAGATGATAAAAAATAAATCATCTGCTTAGATACTTCTTTTTCCTTTCCATGTTGCTTTTACCTACCATTGTCTTTAACTTTTATCAAAGTACGTAGTTTCAAAAAGTCACATGAGGTTTAAAATGTGTAAGCTAACTGGGAAATTACTGCATGTGGGTCGTAGGACTTGTAAACTGTGAGCTTCACTGTAGGTCCATGTCATTGGTAATACTCTAGATGTCATTATCCATAGGTCCTTTAGGGTAGGGTGGTATGTGGATGTGTGTCAGTGTCAGATTTCCTAGAGAAGAATCTTTTACTCTCTTGTCTGGAGAAGAGTGTAAACTGCCAGCATTTGGGTCACCAAGCAGGGAAGGAAAGGACCTGAATTCTCACAGTTTAGGAAGTAAAATTTCACTTAATCTCTCTATTCATTTTTTCATTCCTGCCTCCTCCCCCCCAGCTGTGCCTGTTGTCATTGAGTCCGGTATCTGGAAGGAGTAGTGTAGTCTTTATTCTTGGTGAATGAGGAAAGAAATCTGCGAATTCTTACTTGTCTGTTGCACAGTTTCAAGGATGATTTTATCCACACATCCACTTTTGAAGGTGCCTGTGTCTTTATTTCATGACTTTCTCTTTGTTTTACTGGCAACAAGCAGCTTCTTTCCAAGCTTCCATATGGCCAGCTTCAGTTTTATCTTTCTCTGAACTGTAAAGTCAGTTAGCACTTGTCTGTTAGTTATCAGGTTTTCGCCTAAATTTTTCCGTTTATTTTCTTGGGGGATTCTTCTCCTTATTATCATTTCATTGTATTTTTTGAAGTGAATGGCTGTAAGTATTTGTGTCAATCTGTTGCATATTCCCCTGTCCCCTTCTCAGCTGGCTGATACCTGCTATCTTTCAGGTCTCCATGCCTCACTTCCCCTTGATAGTTTGACCCTTCATACTGGTTTAGGTGACTTGTGCTCTTCTGGAGCTACGGCTCCCTAAATGAATCTGCATCTTAGAGTTCTTTAGACCTTTCCTTAGTTGTCTGTTTACTGGACAAGAGCTGGAGCTACATTTTCATCACTCTGTCCTTGGTGCCTCTACAGTGACTGGACACAGTCATTCAGGACATATTTATTGAATTGGAGTTAAGTATTAACTAACTGGTACATTTATCTGGTGTAGTAAGAGAAGAGTGTGTTGCTTGTAATTAAGGGTTTTATTAGACATCATTGATGATGAGTTTAGTCTAAGAATGTCACCTCAAAATAAATGCTGGTACAGCGTTGGGAAGTTCACATGCAGAAAGCTTGTAACTTTTCTCCGTAGGTAGGTGTCCTAACAAATTCAAGCTCTGTGGACTTCTGAGATGCGCTATGAAAAATTAAAAATGTTAATGAAAACAGGTAGGCATTGCTTCTTACATTAGCCCGTCATGGAAGTCTCCAGTTCAAGAGAGCACCCTTATTCACATAGAAGGAAGAAAAAGAGATTCTTTGTGTGAGGGAGGAAAAATTAATATTGCAGTAATCACTTTTTTGATTGAGAATCTGGAATTCTAAATCTGCTTTTATCACTAATTTTTGTGACTGTAAAACATTTTCTGTTTGGATCTATTATCTCTATCCTTTTCTGTAGGGTAGAGATGATAATATTTTTGCTGCTGTTATTAAGATTTCATTATAATTGTACAAACAGAGTTCCATTATGCTGAATTTCACAGAGACATTCAAACTGTGGTGCTATAAAATAACTGTTTTTAGAAAAATTCAGTTTTAGTGAATACAGCTTTATAGATGAAACAGCATTAACAATTAGCAAGTAAAGAATAACTCTTTAGATGCAGTAAGACAAGTTGGGGGTGCTATTTTGTCTTTGATTAAAAAAAATAAGCTTTATTTCACAGTTTAAGGTGTACTGGTCAGCTATTTTGTAGAATGCCTATGTATATGTGTGTGTGTGTATATATATATATTTTTTTAATTGTATCATCTTTCTTCTCCATTAGCATGTAAGCACCAAAGCTACAGGCGTTGTCAGTTTTGTTCATTGCTATTGTGAAAGAAAGTTCTCAAGCCAGGCACGGTGGCTCACGCCTATAATCCCAACACTTTGGGAGGCCGAAGCGGGTGGATCACAAGGTCAAGAGATCGAGAACATCCTGGCCAACATGGTGAAACCCCATCTCTACTAAAAATACAAAAATTAGCTGGGCATGGTGATGCATGCCTGTAGTCCCAGCTTCTCGGGAGGCTGAGGCAGGAGAATCGCTTGAACCCGGGAGGTGGAGGTTGAAGTGAGGCGAGATTGTGCCAGTGCCCTCCAGCCTGGCGACAGAGTGAGACTCCCTCTCAAAAAAAGAAAATAGAAAGTTATCTGAAAAGGAATTTGGAGGAAAGAGACTTCATTCCAGTGAACAGTTTGCAAACCTGGGAGTTGCAGCTTTCACTGTAAAAGAAGGTGTGGTCTTTTCTTGTTGATTCTTAACCCTGCTCCCCACAGACTTTAATAATCCAAGTTTTTCTGGATTCCTTTAAAGCTCCCAGTTCTGCCATCTGAGCCTCTCATGATTTCATGGTCCCTGTCCCTTCCAACCAAGTTAACATCGAACTTGAACTTGGAGAGAAGACCCTCTGATAGTTCACCTGTCAACCTATTCGTCCCTCCACCTGTACCCAAAAATGTTTTTTGCTTGTTAAGATTGACTTCTTTGCCTTCTATCCTTTTTGTTTGTTTTGTTTGTTTCTTTGTTTTGAGATAGGGTCTCCCTCTGTCACCCAGGCTGTAGTGCAGTGGCACTATCACGGCTCACTGCAGCTTCAACATCAGGTTCAAGCCATCCTGTCTCCTCAGGCTCCCAAGTAGCTAGGACCTCAAGTGTGTACCACTATGCTCAACTAATTTTTTAATTTTTTATAGAGGCGAGGTCTTGCTGTATTTCCCGGGCTGATCTGAAACTCCTAGGCTCAAGCGATTCTTCTCCCTCAGCCTCCCAAAGTGTCAAGATTACAGGTATGGGCCACCATGCCTGGCCCATCCATTTTTTAAATTAAATTTTTTTTTTAGATTGTAGATTCACTTGCAGTTGTAGATTCACTTGCAGTTGTAAGACATAGCACACAGTGATACTGTGAACTCTTCACCTAGTTTCCCCAAATGGTAACATCTAATAAACTAGCAAACAATATCACAACTAAGAAATTAATACTGATGCAGTTAATATACAGAACATTTCCACACTACAAAGGTCTTTCATGTTACTCTTTTATAGTCACACCCACTTCTGTTCGCCGCCTTTCCTTAACTCCTGGCAACCACTAATCTGGTCTCCATTTTTATAATTTTGTCATTTCAAGAATGTTATATAAATAAAACATACAGTATATAACCTTTTGGGATTGGCTTTTTTCACTGAGCATAAATTTTCAGGTCATCAAAATTGTTGCCTTTTTATTGTTCAGTTATATTTCATAGTGTGGATGTGTATGTTAACCTTTCATCCGTTAGGGACATCTGAGTTATTTCTTGGTAGGCTATGAACATTTGTGTATGAGTTTTTGTATGAATACAAGAGTACAGTTGTTGGTTCCCGTAATAGTTACGTCTTTAGTTTTTGTAAGAAACTGCCAAACTGTTACGCAAAGTGGTTATACTATTTTATACTCCCACTGGCCTTGTATGAGGGATAAACTGTCTTTGCATCCTTGCCAGCATTTAGTGGTTTTCATTTTATCCATTTTAATAGATGGTGGTGTATCTCTGTGATTTTAATTTGCATTTGCCTGGTGGCTAATAGTGTTGAACATTCTTTCATGTGTTTATTTCTCATCTTTACATCATCATTGGTGAAACGTTTGTTCATGTTTTTTTTGCCCATTTTCTAATTGGGTTTAGTTTTTTTTACTGTTTAGTTTTGAGATTTCCTTATATATTCTAGATACTACTGCTTTGTCATAAAAGTGGTTTGCAGATATTTTCTCCCAGTCTATGGTTTTTCATCCTCTTGAAATGGTCTTTTGCAGAACAGTGTTTTTAATTTTGATGAGATCTGATATGTAGATCTTTCCTTTTACGGATTGTGCTTGCAAGTCTAAGAACTTGTCGCTTTGGTGCTAGATCCAAAATATTTTCTTCTATATTTTTAAATTCTATAGTTTTATGTTTTACGTTGAAGTTCATGTTTCATTTTGAGGTTTTAACATTTTTTTTTATTTGTGTAGTTTTATGTTTTACATTGAAGTTCATGTTTCATTTTGAGGTTTTAACATTTTTTTTTTTTTTTTAATTTGTGTATTTCTGGTTGTTTCAGCACAGTCAGTTGGGCATATTTGGGTGGATGTGTTTCTGGGTTCTCTGTTCTCTTCCATTGACGTTTGTGTCTGTTCCTTCACCAGTACCACACTATATCAAATACTGTACCCATGTGGTAAGCCTTGATATCAGGTAGAGTGATTCCTTTCACTTGTTTCTTCTTTGTCAAGATAGTTCTGGCTATTCTAGGACCTATGCCTCTCTTTTTTTTTTTTTCTTGAGACAGGGTATCACTTTGTCACCCAGGCTGGAGTACAGTGGCGTGATCTCAGCTTACTGCACCCTCTGCCTCCCTGGCTCAAGTGATTCTTGTGCCTCAGCTACCCGAGTAGCTGGGATTACGGGCACATGCCATGACGCCCTGCTCATTTTTTGTGTGTTTTTAGTAGAGATGGGGTTTTGCTATGTTAGCCAGGCTGGTCTCGAACTCCTGACCTCAGGTGATTTGCTTGCCTCAGCCTCCCAGAGTGCTGGGATTACAGGCATGAGCCAGTGCACCTGACTTGTATAAATGTTAAAATAAGTCATTTATCTACAAAATACCTTGCTGGGATTTTGATAGGAATTACATTAAACCTGTGGATCAGTTTGGGGAGAATTGGCACCTTTACTA